CCCCTCTTCTCCTCCCCTTATGTGTGGGTCTGTGGCTTAGATCAGGGGTTTTATTGGTTTCGACCCAATCTGGAGGATTGGGCCCCCTCGGTGAAGCAATGTTCCCTAGTGGTTCTTTTTGGTCCCGGCACCTGTTCTGTGAAGCACCTTCCCCCAGGAATATGGAGCTCCCCAAATCTATTGGCCTCTTGCAATAGAGCCCCAGATCTATAGGTATTTTTCAAGTATAAATCGAGGATTGCTTGTATACATAATCCTTACTTTACAACCACAATTGAACCCGAAATTTAAGTGTTCTAACCAAGGCTTCCTGAGACGTTAACAAACACATGTTAGTCTCCAAAACCTTTTATTTTATTTCAATGGCTGTGAATTATAGTCATTCACAGCCCCTAATGAGTCTCAAACAGTTTGTAAATAGTCCCACAGAAGTCTGCCTTTGGGATAAGGCTGATAAGCACCCACCTTTATCTCCCTGGAAATGCTGCCAACGCCTAAATTGCCAATTACTTGTATAAGGCCAAACGGAGCACCAATTCAACACAGAGCTTCAGGTTTCAAATTGAAGAGTACGAACAAAGTTGCTTCCTGCAAAGGCTCATGTCCCAGCCAGCAATTTAACAACAAGCTCGGCTGAAGTGGTGCGAACTGGTTTAATTCTACCACTGGCCCGATCAGCAATTGTAATTCTTGTCTGCAGACCGGCCGGTGGGTGGGTGGGGAGACAGGAACCTCCTGCAGCACTTTGCCGGCCAAAATGAGCCACAAGGGGGCCATGAGAGGCTCTCCCCCCCCCCCCCGCCGATTTTCAGCTTCCACGGCCTCCTGCAGCACTCTGCTGGCCAAAAACGTGGAGGTTGTGGAGAAGAAAGCGCTGCAGGAGGCCACGGAGGCTGAAAATGGGCTGCGTGGGGCCACCCTTTGATATTTCCAGGCCAGATCTAAGCACCCCGCGTGCTGGGACCGGCTGGTTGGCCTTGAGTTTGATGCAGCTGCCTTAAAGATCTTTCTTGATTGCTTTTCTGGTTTTGCTTCTCCCTTTCCAGATATTTGCTATCCAGTTGCTTTCTTACTTGTGCATTCAGTACGCGCTACCCAAGTCTCTCAGCGTGGCACGTTTGGCTATCAATGTCATGGGGACCCTGCTGACAGGTAAGCCAGGTTAGCCCCAGAAAATCTAGCCCTGGAACCTAGTTAGTGCTGGAAAGTCAAAGGGGACCTTCTGTCTCTAGGATTCCATTTCTGGAACCAAATCTCTACTTGTAGTGGGGAGAACACCAGCACCCATTTCACTCTTCCTGGTGAGTGAGTGACCGTCATGCCCCTGGTGGAGACTGACTGAGGAAGAGGAGGAACAGCCAACAGGGAGTGGAAGGGTGGCTCCAGAGGTGGTGGAGGAGGCTGGCAAAGGGCAGAGGCTGGCTGAGCAAATAATCAGAGTTGGAAGGGACCTTGTGGGTCATCCAGTCCAACCCCCCGCCCAAGTGGGAAACCCTACACCATTTCTGACAAATGGCAGTCCAATCTTGAAAGTCTCAGCTGATGGCGCTCCCACAACTTCTGAGGGCATCTTCTCTTCCATTGGTTGATTGTTCTCACTGTCAGAAAGTTTCTCCTTATTTCTAGGTTAAATCTCTCCTTGTTCAGTTTCCATCCATTATTCCTTGACTGGCCTTTAGGAGCTTTACAAAATAGCTTGACCCCTTCCTCCTCTCTGTGGCAGCCCCTCAAATATTAGAAGACTGCTATCCTGTCTCCCTTGGTCCTTCTCTTTACTAGACTAGCCAAGCCCAGTTCCTGCAACCGTTCGTTGTATGTTTTAGCCTCCAGTTCCCTAATCATCCTGGTTGCTCTTCTCTGTACTATTTCTAGAGTCTCAACATCTTTTTTATAATGTGGTGACCAAAACTGGATGCTGTACTCTAGGTGTGGTCTTACTAAGGCTTTATAGAGTGGTATTAGTACTTCCTTTGATCTTGACTGTATCTGTTAACACAATTTAGGATTGCATTAGCTTTTTTGGCTGCTGCTGCACACGGCTGGCTCCTATTTAGCTGGTTGTCCACTAAAACTCCAAGATCCCTCTCACAGTTACTGCTATAGAGCCTGGTTTCACTCAGTCTATATGTGTCCTTTTGGTTTTTCTTGCCTAAGTGTAGGACTTTACTTTTCTCTATATTGAATTTCATTTTATTAGATATGGCCCAGTGTTCTAGTCTGTCAAGATCCATCTGGATCTTGAGCCTATCTTCTTGGGTGTTATCTATTCCTGCCAGCTTAGTATCATCTGCAAATTTGGTAAGTTCCCCTTCTATTCCCTCATCTAAGTCGTTAATGAAGATATTGAAGAGTACTGGGCCTAAGAGGGAACCTTGTGGCACCCCACTGCTTACTTCCCTCCATGTAGACTTAGACCCATTAAGGACTACTCATTGAGTACGGTTTGCCAGCCAGTTGCGAGTCCATCGAATGGTGGTGCTATCTATTCCACTTTTTTCTAGCCCGCTAAGAAGTAGGTTGTGGTCTACTTTATCGAATGCCTTGCAGTCAGAGGAGGACCCAGGCCCATCCCCTCTCCATCCTAGGGCACGCAGGGAGGAGAGGATCAGGGTAAAACGTGGTCTACTTGGGAGGAGAGGGCCATGATCCTCTTCATGGGTTGCAGGTGTGAGATCTGCATAAAAGGTTGGACCTGCGTGCTAACAGACGCTGGAGACAAATTAGTGTTTTATTCCTAAAGAAGGTTTATCTTGGTTGGCGTTCTTCCAACTTGGTTATCTTCCTGAAGTTGGCAATTATCTGTCCTGGTCTGTTGTGGAACTTTATTCAATGTGGTTTGTTTTTGGTTTTTGCTTCGTTATCGGCTCTTTGAATTTGAACTGTGTTTCTTTCCCTTGAAATGTTATTTTTACTCCTCCGTGGCAGAAAAGATTGTAAATTCACTTAACGGTTGCCTTGCTGAGCCACCAAAACTGGTCGTATACCATAATGGTCATGAGTCACATTGTCTCTGCAATTCACTGCTGTTATTTCAAGCTCTTCCTCTTGTCTCCGCAGTTCTGACGGAGGCCAAGCGTTACACGTTTTTTATGCCTACCCTGCCCTGCCTGGTCTCCTTCTGCCAAGCCTTTCCTCCCCTGTACGAAGACATCATGTCCCTGCTCATCCAAGTTGGGCAAGTTTGTGCTTCCGACGTTGCCACAGAAACAAGGGATTTTGATCCGATTATTACACGTAAGCCATTGTGTCCTCACGGTTTCAGGGTTCTTTGCTCGCCCTTGGGCTTACAACTAGTCTTGGGTTGTAGTAATCCAAGGAAAAGTCTGGCGGGGAGAGAGAGAGAGAGATACGTCATCTTAGGGCAGGGGTGTCAAACTCAAGGCCTGCGGGATAAATCCGGCCTGCCGGGTGCTTAGAGATTGGCCTGCGGGGCCGACTTGGAAACAACGAAGGACTGGCCCGTGAGCTCTGTTTTCACAGGCAGAGGCATTACTGTCCCTGTCCTTCACTGGCCATGCCCCCCACCGCCGAAGTCAAACTCAACCCTTGATGCAGCCCTCAATGAAATCGAGTTTGACACCCGTGACTTAAGGTCTCCGTTTCTTTCATTCAATGGTTTTATCTATAGGCAGTCCTCTACTTAAGATTGTCATTGAGGGGGTTCCATGGTGTTCTCTGAGCTTAGTGGGTTTCCTGCAAGCGTTTCATGGCCCAACTAAGTAACATCAACAGTGCTAGAAGAGGTGGAGGGAGGGAGGAGGAAGAGGACCAAAGGGTCCGTGGTGCTTTCTGAGCTTGGTGGCTTTCCTATAGACATTTCATTACCAAACTAGGTAACATGAGTGCTAGAAGGTAGTGGAGTTTGCAGAGTGGAGGATGACGAAGGAGTGGGAGGAGGAGGATTATGGGGCCCTTGGTGGATTCTGAGCTTGGTTGTTTTCTTGCAGACGTTTTATTACCCAACTGGGTAACATCATCAGTTGCAGAAGGGAGTGGGGCTTGCTCTCTTTTTATATACTGGCATCTTGCCCTGTCATCTCTTCACCAGCAGTCAATACCCAGAGATTAACACCAAGATTAATACTAGACCAGCGGTCAAGCAGTAAACAATACCCCAATCAAGGAACTACGAATTCAGACAAGCAAGAGAAGAGTAAGCAGCTGCCTAATCAAGGAATGATCAAGACCATTCCCACAAACACCAACAGGGCAAGCCTGCAAACAATCAGCAAGCTCCACTCCCATTTGTGGCACTGATGATATAACCCAGTTTGGTAATGAAACATCTGCAAGAAAACAACCAAGTTCCGAGAACACCAAGGACTTCCACAGTTCAACTTTGAGCTACCAATATTATCTTCTGCTTGGACTAACTGGGCCCGGAATTATGATCATAAGTCACATTAAGCGGGTCATCGGGTCACAAAATAGGATGGGATGGCATAGGATGGAATTCTTTATTGGCAAAGTGTGATTGGACACTTGGAATTTGTCCCGGTGCAGAAGCTCTCAGTGTACATACAAACAGTGAGGGATAAACCATAATCATAAAATACATTCATCCTAAATCATAAGATACAACATCGAGTGATAGTCGTAGCTAGTCATAAATAAAAGCAAACCAACGTAAATCATGAGTTACAAACAGCAAAGTTATGGTCAAGAAGCTAAGGAAATACGTAATGGCGAAGATGAGAAGGATAATAATGCAGCCCTACTAGGTGGTTTGACCTTCCAGGGGCATAAGACGGTGTTCACATACACATACATATACTGTATTTTTTGGACTATAAGATGCTTCAAAGTATAAGACGCACCTAGCTTTTGGGGAGGAAAATGAAAAAGGAATCTGCCTCTGCCTCCCAGCCATTTGCCTCCTTGCAGCAAACAGCAAATAGCCTGGTCAGCTTCAGCACAGCCTGATTTAGCACGAGCAGCCGATTGGTGGTTGGATCGGCCTCCCGGAACACTGCCTAGCAGCTATTCCAGGCTGCAGGGATTGCTGCCACCCATCGCCACCTCTGTGCAGCCCATTTTTGGCCTCCGCGCGTCCTGTTTTTGGCCCGTTCCGCCGCCTGGAATGAGCCGAAAAAGGGATGTGGTGCAATGGGTGGCAGCGATCCCTGCAGCCTGGAACAGCTGATAGGCGGTATTCCGGGAGGCCGATCCAACCGCCAACCACCAATCAGCTGCTCGTGCTAAATCAAGCTGTGCTGAAGCTGACCAGGCTGTTTGCTGCAAGGAGGTAAATTGCTGAGAGACTGAGGCCGAAGGGTGGGGGGTGGCGGGGAGGCGGGGCTTCGGCAACATTCTCTATAAGATGCACCAACCTTTCCGCCCACTTTTTGGGGGAGGGGATGTGCATCTTATAGTGTGAAAAATACGGTATATACACACGCACACACACACACACACACACATCCTATCCTAACTTCACAGCCTAACTTCATCTGAGTATTTCCACTCTCCCACATTTAACCTGTTTTTTTTTTGTTTTTTTTCCCCCTTTCCTGCCCTGAATGTTTACCTCTAGGCCTCCAACAACTGAAGGAAAAGCCTACGGAACAGACGAAACTTCCCACGACTCACAAAACTGGAGGCGGGACCCCTAGCGCAGACCCCAACGTCCAACTCTGTCACTGCATTGAAAATACCTTCGTTGAAATAATTAACATGAGCGTCGGGGCCGTTTAAGCACCTCCGGATGGGCCAGGCTGTTGCAAAACCGCAGGATATTACGTGGATTTTTTTTTATTGTTATTATTTTTTGCCAAAGTAAAAACGGAGGATTGTCTGGAAATGCGTGGAACGCTTTTTTTCACCTCTGCGGCATGAGCCGCAAGTCAACAACCGCTGCTTTCCGAGAAAGCATCTCTAGACTGGGGTGATTAAGATCTGTTTTCTCCAGCCAGGTCCTCTTCTGACAGCCACCCTGGCTGGAGATTCTGAGAAGAGGAGGATGGGTCAAACGGCAGGGAAGGCTGGTACGGGGTCAGGCTTTTCCTGCGGCAGGAATCCAGGTTTCCTTGCATTTCAAAGAGGAAGCCAGACCAACAAAGATTGCCAATGGGTCATGTAACATCGTTTGGAGAATTGGATTCACCTTTTGTAAAAAAAAAGAAAAGAAAAGAAAAAGAAATGTCTTATATTTCTTCATCTGGCTCCACCATATCTTGGATTAAAGCTGAAAAGGTTGAGTTTCAGGTAAAACTTTAATCTGTGGAAATGACTTCATATGAAGCAGGCTTCCAAACTCTTACCTTTCCAGCAAGTATTCAGAGGAAGCAGAGAGAGAGAGGGAGGAATCCATTGGATGTGCCAATTGGAGGAAAATATCTACTTCCTATCCCCTTAATGAGTAGTCCTTGACTTATGACAACAATTAAGCCCAAATGCCCAGTGCTAAGCAAAATGGTAGTTCAGTAAGCTTTGCCCCCCTTTTATGACATTTCTGGTTGTTAAGTGAATCGCTTCCGTTGTTAAGTTAGTAACCTGGTTGTTAATGAAACCATGGACTTGACTTATCAAAAGATTGCAAAAAAGTGATCATGTAAACCTGAAGATGCTGCAACCATCATAAATCTGTGTCAGTTGCCATGAGCGGAATTTTTATTTGTGACTCCGGGGATGCTGCAGGGGTCATGGGTGTGAAAAATGGTCATAAGCAGAGCCAGTTCAGACCGGTTCAGGCGAACTTGTAGCGGAAATTTTGACCAGTTTGGAGATCTGGCAAATACCACTTCTGACTGGCCCCGCCCACCCATTCCCGCCCTTTCCCATCCTATATTCCATTGATTTTTACCTTAGATGATTTGCATGGCAGCTCACCTCATTGAGGGCAATCTTGGAGTTCCGCACGCGCGAAGCGATCTTTGTGATCTGCGTGCGCGTACAAAGTGATCTGTGAATGCTGCACCCATGTGGGAAGTGACCTTAGAGTGCAGCATGCATGAAGTGTGCGGACCGGTAACATGCAATTTGGAATCCCACCACTGGCCCTAAGTCACTTTTTTCAGTGCTGTTGTAACTTTGAACGGTCACTCCATGAATGGTCGTAAGTCAAGGACTACCTGTACTTTGCATTAGTGGTGACAAAGTTTGGAACAGGGAATGGGGAAGGAAGGAACTCAAGTCACACTGGAGATTCAATACAATTCAGTTGTTTTGATGCCTTGCATTGCTTCAAGCTTTTAAGCTATAAGAAGAGGCAGAACGTAATAAATCCATGTTTGTTCTGCTAAGCAGGAAAAAGTTTAAACTCCTTTTGAAAACGGAGGCAGCATGACTTTAATATTCTTGGAAGGGAAATAGTTTCTAAGCAGAACCTCAAAATCCAAGTTTTATTCTTTTTAATGGTGGTGGGAAGCAGTTTTAAAATATGATTTGACAAGAGCTAGGTTAGGTTTTTCTTAGCCTTGCCTCCTTTTTCAGCAAAGCAAAGCTATATAACAGAATGGTATTTCTCAAACTTAGCAACTTTTTTTGGTGTGTGGACTTCAACTCCCAGAATTCCCCAGCCAGTATGTTGGCTGGGGGATTCTGGGAATTGAAGTCCACGTATCAATCACACCTGACATTGAGAAACACGGAGTTAGATGTATCAGTGGACATGCCAGATTTATATGCCAATATACTCAAAAGTCAGCACCTTTATGAGTTGGAAACATCAAAAGTTGGTGATGGAAATTTTTGGTCAGCCTCACTCCTGTCTACCATAATACCATATAATGTTTCTCACCATTGGTTAGTCTGCCTAAACACCTTTTTCCCCCCACATTGACAAAAATGTAATGATTTTTGTTTTCAATCAAGAATTAAAAATACTGGTGATGTCATTGACTAGTATCAACAGTTTTGAAATGAGGAAGAGATTTTTTGGAAGAAGGAATCAGAACCCTCTGTTCTGGGTAGTCTTAATATTTTGCTAAGTATATCCACTAAAATACAGTATTTTCTAATCATTGTGCTTTTATCCATTACTTTGAGCCCAGTCTTTGACAACTGTAGATGTTTTTTTTTTGGGGGGGGGGGCAGGTTGTGTGTGTGTTGTGTGTTTTAATGATTGAAGAACAAAACACAAATCCATATGTCACATTAAAAGAAAAGGAATATTCAGGTTAATGGTATAAGAATCAGTCCTTGGCCAGTTGAGAGTCTAAAACTCTTGGATCTAGTTCCTCGAAAAGTCCAAATAATTTTGGCCTTCAGGTAATTTAGCATAATTTTGCTGAGATGGCTGATATCAGTGGTACAAACTAATATTATTATCTTTTTGTATGTATTATCAAGATGCATTAGAACAGGGGTCTTCAAACTTGACAGCTTTAAGACTTGTGGACTTCAGCTCCCAGAATTCCTCCTCCAGTCATGTTAGCTCAGGAATTCTGGGAGTTGAAGTCCACAAGTCTTCAAACTTGCCGAGTTTGAAGACCCTTCCATTAGAATGTAGCTTTTAATCGTATGGATAGGGACCTTGTGGATACTGATGTAATATTTGTACAGAGGTTTTTTTTTTGTTTTCCTTGGCTGCAGTTTCAAAATGGCTGCAGTGTTTTAACATGTAATTGGTATTTGATTTCAAAGAGATTCATTGGAAAGAATATGTTCCTTACTGTATAAACAGGTGTACTTTTTCTGTTCATTCTTTTAAAAACAAAACAAAACCCGACGTCTCTTGGACAGTTGTAGCACATTCTCTGTGTAGGAGTTCTTACGTATTCAAACAGATCCAACTCACATAAGAGAGAAAGTATTGGAAATTTGTAGGAACGGGGACCCCAGTATTTTCAGACAGGTAGAAAATCTGCTCTAAACCCACCTTGAGAATGCTGCTGCTCCTGTTCCCAAATAAAGTTACTCCTAGGGGACCAAGACTGTTTAGGGGCGGTCCTTGATTTACAACGGGCTGCTTAGCAACTGATTGACATTACAATGGACCTACCTGGGGGGTACTTATGATTCGATTTGAAGTTCCCACAGCTGCCACCTGTGATCACAACGAGCCCTTCCCCCACATTTGTGGCTTTCTGCTGTGTCCCACAGTCATGTGACTGCATTGCTTTGAAACATGGTGGCGCCCAACTAGGAAGGTGAGGCTCTCGCTCCTGGAGCACAATCTCCCTATAAAGCCACCACCTGCACCAGAAATCACTTTTAAAGCTGCCGCCTGCACCAGTAACCGTGAGTAAACCAGAGCCCAAAAAACAATCCCAAAAACGCTGGATTCTGAAGCCGTGGAGCCCTAATAATGCTGGCGGAGCTCCTGCTAGCTGATCCGGAGCCTTCCTCTCCTTCCCCAGAGAAGTGAAGCTCTTTCCATCGAGCCCTATTAACCACACTGGTGGAGCTCTTGAGCTGGATCACTTGGAGCCAGCGGAGTGCAAACAACGTACCTTCATTTAAATCCCTCATACAGCTGATAGAAGTATCTTCCACCCCAGACAACGCGTTTCCATTAATATCCCCCACACAGTTTCCCCGGAGCCACATCGGACAGCTGGCTGGGAGAAACAAGGAGGGAGGAGAAAGCCCTGAGGCTCTTAGGAGCCGAAAGTCACCCTGGATGGGTGGTAAAGGCAGTGGAATGCTTCGGTGGTCGCGAGGAGAGGAGAGTCTCCTCGACTGACCCAAAGAAAACCCCTCCATCCGAACTAAAAAGAGAACTGCCAGCATGGCTAAATCGAAGCCAGGAAGGCAGCTGAGACAAGTGAAAAAGAAAGGAAAGATCTTGTAACAGCGTGCTTAGTCTTGGTAAGAATCACTCCAATTTCTGCAATTAGTGTAATTAATTGATTAGGCTGATTGTTGCTTAGGAAAATTATTTGACTAGAGAGATTACTGTAATTGATTGATTGGTGTGATATTGGCTATATTGATTACCCAAAATTGTTCCATTAATTAATTTAATCAACGTACCATCTTAACAAACCTACCATGCCAAGAAAAAAATCCAATGCCAAACCACAACCTAAAGAGAAAGTAATCCCCACCAATGAACCACAAGACTCCTGCACATGCCTTAAATGCTACAAAACTCTAAAGGATAATGAAAACTCCATCAAATGTTCTCTATGTAACAAATACGCTCATCATGACTGCTTGGGATTACCCGAGCAAATGATTCAATACCTAGAATCATCCAATGAGTTTCCATATCTCTGCAAATCATGCAGACCCAAACTGGATCTGTTTGAAAGAGTTGATACCATAGAAACACGAATAACATCCCTTGACACCATAGTAGCATCCCTGGACGCCTTAAAAGAAAGATTATCCAACCTTGAAAAAAAAGACACAACGCAAAAACCTGAACATCCAATAGCTACAAACCACATCTCTACCCAACAACCACAACCCAATCCACAAAAAAACATGAGCCAGACAAATAATGATATCCCAATCCTCATCAGAGAAGCTGTCTTATTTGGTCTAGAGGACATCTTAGACGCCATCTTATTTGGTCTAGAGGACATCAATGATAATGATGACATCACAACTGTCCGAAACATCACCAGTGATTATCAAGCATCAACCATCTCCCGATGAAATACTTGACATTTCCCACATTGGCTGAGAGCTGAAAAACAGAGACAGCTCTGTGGCCCCACACTTCTGCAGGATCATTTGCAAAAATGAATCAAGCAAACGTAAATTCATTTACACTATAAATTCACTCGCCAAAACCAACACCAACCATAAGAACCTCCGTTGTCGCCCTGACCTAACCATACAGCAACGTGCCCGCTCCCGTGTACTCCGCACTGAACTCAAAAAACGTCTAGACAATGGAGAGAAGGACCTGTACATTGACTACCATGCTGACTGTATCAAAAGTAAGTCAAATAACCCGCAACCCAGCTTTAACCTTCAACCACAACCCTACTTCAACCAATCCACCATCACCCAAGACTAGGCACGCATGCGCCTCCCTAACTACCTCGATTCCAACTACTGCTGGCCTTAAATGCAAGCTACTCAATGCAAGAAGCCTTGCAAATAAAATACCTATATTTTTCCTCTTACTAAATATGGCTAAATTCGACATCATATTTGTCTGTGAAACATGGCTTAACACATCTCTCCCTGACTCCATTACCACTAACCTTAGACTGTCTACTAT